ATTATTATTATTGTTATTATAGGTGAAAAATGAAAACGAAACGTTCGATTGGGGCATGGTAGTGAATTTTAAGAAGAAAAATCCGAAAAATCCAGTAAAGGACAAGACTGTTATTGTCATTGACGTTTTACTTCACTTATCGAAAGATTCTAAAGAAGGCAATCCAATTCCATGTCGCGATGGTGAAGAAGGCGAAATGGAAGTAGTTCCTGTTTTGCATAATTTAATTTCGCAAATCAGTTCAATCAGAGTACATTATCAAAAGGATCTTAGGCCGCCTGATAATAGGAAGAGCGTACTGAAATCGATACGAGAAGTGAAAAAGAGATACTCGGGAGATTTACCGTTACTCAACCCTATTACAGACATGCATATACAGGATCAGGCTTTTAAAGATATTGTCAAAAAAATTGAAGTGTTAGAGAAAAGATTATATGCACATTCTTTGCATAAGGTAAGAGATAGTTTTTATATTGTGTGTGGCAATATATTTACGTACTTGAAATATTTGCATTTAAAATACTTTCTTGTATAAATGCTTTGAAAACTTTTTATTATGTGGAATATCTTAATTTGTCAAATGTTTTTCTTTTAATTCAGCTTTTCAAATAATATGACTTTTCATTTTAAATTCGATTGTTTACAGGATCCCAATGTAAACGTATTATACGAACAATTTTTGCACAAGGAAGAATTGGCTACGCAACTTAAGCAAGCCAAGGAAGAGTTTAAGCAGGCTAAGTCGATACTTCAAATGGACGAACTGAAATGTAGAAAGCGAGTTTTAAGGAGAATGGCGTATTGCACATCGGCGGACGTTATAGAATTGAAAGGACGTGTAGCTTGCGAGCTGAACGGTGCCGATGAGCTTTTAATGACTGAGATGATTTTTAATGGTCTTTTTAATTCTTTGAGCGTGCCACAAATGGTAGCGTTAATCAGTTGTTTTGTATGTGACGAAAAGTCAAACGAAATGCCTAAAAGTACAGAGGAATTAAGTGGTCCGCTTAGGCAGATGCAGGACTTGGCTCGACGAATAGCAAAGGTATCGACAGAGGCCAATCTGGAATTAGACGAGGATGCATATGTCGATAGATTCAAACCGTATTTAATGGACGTTATATACGCTTGGTGTAAAGGCGCAACATTCTTACAAATTTGCAAAATGACAGATATATTTGAAGGTAATGTATATATTAGCATATTTCAGTGATGTGATGATAATAAACTCAAGTATTTTTCCGTGACATATATATGCATAAAACACGTGTTTCAGGATCTATTATCAGGTGTATGCGACGTTTAGAGGAGGTACTTCGACAATTATGTCAAGCTGCAAAAGGTATCGGAAATACAGATCTAGAAAATAAATTTAGCGAGGCGATCAAACTTATAAAACGGGATATCGTATTTGCTGCGTCCTTATATTTATAATGCAGGAAAAAAGAATAAAACTATTTTCATAGAGTAACAAGTTTGTTTTCGTTTTATATATATAGATATATGTATATATCTAGATTTGTATGTTCTTATTAAATTATACACCCCTATATGAATTCCATTATATTGCCCGTTATTTACATAGCCCATTTGCAATACGTACATAATAAACAAAGGCAGTTTTTTATTCGAAATCGAATTCGTTCGAAATACAATTTATTCCTGGAAATTTAAATTATATAATATACGTATATAGAAACTTTTTTTTT